CTGTGCAGAGCAGAGTGTGTCCTGTGCAGAGCAGAGTGTGTCCTGTGTAGAGCAGTGTGTCCTGTGCATAGCAGAGTGTGTCCTGTGCAGAACAGAGTGTGTCATGAGCAGAGCAGTGTGTCCTGTGTAGAGCAGTGTGTCCTGTGCAGAGCAGAGTGTGTTCTGTGCAGAGCAGAGTTTGTCCTGTGCAGAACGGAGTGTGTCCTGTGCAGAACAGAGTGTGTCCTGTGAAGAAGCAGAGTGTCCTGTCCAGAGCAGAGTGTCCAATGTAGGGCAGTGAGTATCTACTCTGACAGTGGGACCTCTGACATGAGCTTGCTGTGATTCCCAATGCCCCATCCCCTGACACACACCTCCTCCTATTGCTTAATTTCTCGTGGACCTTGAACAAGTTATTCTCCCTACCACTGCCCATATTTTCTTCTGTAATTTAAGGGAAATTGTAGATGCTATAGTGGGTTTGTTGTCAGGTGTGCATGTAAGGACTGCGCATGTAGTTACAGGAACACATCAAGCACTCTGTAAATGTCGCTGCGTACACTTGAAGAATTAGTTAAGGTTTCCACTCCTGTCAGTAGTAATGTGGGCCCTATGAAATTTCTGGATTTGTGTATATGGAATCTCTTTTCTAAAATTTAGATTGGGGACTGGACAGACGGCTCAGTGGTTTAGAGCAGTTGATACTCTTTCAGATGAAGTGAGTTCAGTTCACAATTAGCTCTAACTTCAGTTTCAGGGGACCTAACACCTTCTTTTGGCCTCTGAGGGCATGTGTGTGCTATGCATCCGAACGTACAGGCAAATATACACACATGCACATCAAATAAAAATAAATTTAAAAGATATAGATTGCTTATCACATCTTCTTAATCACTGATTCTAGTGTTTTGTTTTAAAGATTTATTCTCTGAGGAAAGACTGTCCACATGTTTTCCACGAGCATTTTGAAATGGAATATTATACAGTAGGATGGGGTGTAAAAGGTGATACCCTTGCCAAAAAAAAAATCCAGATGCTTCAAAAGTGAATGCTTTTTAAGACACATAGAGAAATGTGTTGCCGTTGTTTCTGTCATTGCTTTACTGCAGCTGGGAATGCTGCTGATTGACTAGCTATACTTATTTCCCTTTCTGCTTCTAGGAACTCTCTTCCTATAAGAAGCAAGGGCCTGGCCTGCTGAGCAGGATGGGGCAGACAGTCAGAGCCGTGGCATCTTCCATGCGAGGAGTGAAGAACCGGCCAGATGAGTTCATGGAGATGAATAACTTCATTGAAACCTTCAGCCAGAAAATAAACTTAATAGATAAAATATCTCAGAGGATTTACAAGGAAGAAAGGGGTATGTCATTAAAGACTGAGCATACAGATGCTCAACCTCTTTCTCGTCTATACATTGGCTGCTGTGCTGTGCTGTGCTGTGGTGACACTGTTAAGATTTTAATTACAAATAATACCCTGACATCCATTGAGAAATTTTGAGAAACTGAGAAGTTGGCTCAGACTATAAGGTGCTTGACCTCCTCTTAGATATGAGGACTTGAGTCAGATCTCCAGCACCCATATAGAAACCTGAGTATCATGGCAGGTACATGGAGTCTGGTGCTGAGGAGACAGAGGCAGGCAGCTCTCCGGGGTTCATTGTTCAACAAGTCTGTTTGAATCACTGAGCCTAATGTCACACTGAAAGACCCTTCTCATAAAACCAAGTGGGCAGCTCCTGAGGGACCACACCCAAGATTGTTTTCTGACTTTGCCCCACACCTGCCCATGGATGCGTGAGCACCTGTTGACCCAAGCAGACATGTACATACCTGTGCACACATATACACCCTTCCCACCCACACACACACATTTCCTTAGTGTATTAGGTAGATGTAAATCCTTAGATGGTTTTTTAGGTAGTCATAACCAGTCCCCATTGGTTTTATGGAGCTCTATCTGTTCTGGCATGTGTAGATCATGACACGATGCAGTACCAGCCCTGACTTGAGATTTACAATTTAGTTTATGAAGTATGTGTCAAATATTCAATGTGGACCGTCTCAGAAATCAAAGAATGGAATTTCAGGATTGAATTTCAGTATTTTACTGGTGGTGGGGAGAAGGATGTGTTAGGTCATATACACTTACATATTGAAAAAATAGTGGTCTTTCCTATTATCTACCTTTTAATAATCATGCTATAAATCGTTAGTCTTTAATGATTCTACTCCAATTGCTTAATAATATTTATTTTCTAATTTTAAAATTATAAAGAGATGGGAGAACCAATAAACATCTTTTAGATATATGTTGGTACTGAAGAGAAGTCATTTACAAACAGAAGCCATTCTACTGATGCCTCCTATGTGAATTTGTAGCTTGTCTATATCCATCATTAAACTGGAAATTCTATTTTATTTCTAGTGTATACTGTGTAGGTAGCACCCACATGGTAGAAAAAGAGATTGACTCCTTGAAGGTGTCCTCTGACCACCTCGTGCAAACTGTGGTACACATACTACGCTCCTCCCCAAATAAATACGTAAATGTATGTAAAGGCAGGGGGGAAGGAGTTTGGAAGTAGGAGAAGGCTGAGTGGTTAAAGTACGTGCTGTGTAGTCGTAACAACTAAGTTTGAATCTCTAGCAATCATGTGTCAATTCTGTGCGCAAAGGCATGTATCTGTAACCCCAACTCTGAGCAGCAGAAGGGGATCCCAGAGGCTCTCTGGCCAGTCAGCCAAAAATAGGGGAGCCCTAGATTCACAAGCCTGAAAATAAAAGGTGAGAAGCTGAAGAAGTAGGCACCAAAGATAAAGCACTAGCCTCCATGTGCAGACACATGGATGACCACACTCATCATTTACATGTATGCATATATGCATACATACATACATACATACCATACATACATACATAAACATAGAGAATTAATAATGAAAGATTAATTTAAATATGAAACAGAAATATTTTGTTTTCTTAAAAGTACAGAATTATTTTCCTAAATGTATTGTAGTCTTTGCTTTGTAATTTCTGAATGCATTTTAATGATTGGGTTTGATGCTTTTCACAGTTGTTTCTCTCTCTCTTCCTTCCTTTGTTCCTTCCTTCCTTCCTTCCTTCCTTCCTTCCTTCTTTCTTTCTTCCTTTCTTTCCTTCTTTCATCCCTTTCCTTCCTTCCTTCCTTCTTTCTTTCTTCCATTCTCCTTTTTGCTTCCCTTTTTCTTTTGTGTTCCCCCTGTTTTTCTCTTTGCATGGGGTTTCAATACGTACTCCGGCTTGCCTCCCTCGTGTTAAGATGTCAAGTATGCACCACTACCCCTGCCTTATGGTTTTTCTTATTCTCAGGAAGCTAATTAGTTAAGTAGGTTCTGTGACTCCAGTTCTGTGAAGCAGATTCCTTATGCACAGTTAGGCTGGGCAGCAATTCAAAGCATGCTCTGGAAACTGCTGACCCCTAAGAGCTACAAAGATGTCCATAAGCTTTGAATTTACTGGCAAGGAGGTCTTTAATGGCTTCACTCTTTGTGAAGGAAGCTCAATTCTTACAAACTTGCTGTATTGAGCTCTTGTTTTTAAAGTGGATGCTTCTCGCCCAAACTTGTAGGGAAAATTGGGGAAGGGGAAACCATGATTAAGCTATACTGTATGTGGAACATTAATTTACAAAAGAAGAAAAGATGTGAATCATACTTAACAGATCTGGAGACAGGAGTTTACTCAATGTATTGGAGATTCTGTTAAGATTTTTGAAATGTAAGTTCAGCAGGGAACTCAGATCCATATCAGGAAACTAGTTTGAGATAGGTAACTAGTGCTCTCGCTTTTGATGGTTTTCATTCTGCATGGAAAAAAAAAGCCTTGTTTTTTTATTTCTTTTTCTAAATTTATTAATTTTATTCTTCAGATTTTGCTGATTACGTGTTGTGTTGTTTCTCTGTGCTATAGAATAAAGAAGAGATTACAGCTGCACCTGCCCCAGACATCACAGTATACTTGATACATATATTACTAGCTGAATTCCAGGGGTACTTACTAAGTGCCGATGTGTAGGTGTGGTTTGAAAGCTGTGTAATTTTAAGAAGGGTCTGTAGTACAAATAGCTGCCTAATGAGGACCATCAGTGTACACACATACTGAGAACAGAACTGTTGAAATTTTTGTTTCCTGTTTCAGGGTCACTAGACTCTGAATAAAACTTTTATCTTCATGAGATAATTGTAACTTCTTGAGTTCACTTTACCACAGAACAGAATCTGTGTTAATTGTAGCTTTGATACATTTCAGTGAATCATACTCAGTAGAAAGGAGGTGAACTCTAGAGGATATCATTGTGTGTGTAGTGATTCCTGGAGAGTAAAGGAAGAAAGCCGATGGTTTTGCTTAGGTTAGTGGGTAGTAATTACAGTTGAGGAGTTTGTATAGGCAAAAGAACAGAAGAAAGACACATTTTGTTTAGAACCTTGCCTCTGCATACTTAGATACAATATGCATACGTAATTATATGATAGGTAGAATTTTATAATAGGTGTGAGGGTTGTATAATGTAATTTTCCCAAGCTAGGATAATAGAAAAGACATCCAATTTTGTTTATACTTAGTAGCACTTCAAAACCTGACTTGTATAATCTGCAAAGGCTGGTTAGTTAATGAAGGATACTACAAGCATTTGCTTATATCCAAGTGTCAGAACTTGTAGAGAATGAGATAAAGTCCTTTCATACTATCTATGATATGGGAATTTTTCAAAAACTTTTTATAGAAGCTGGAGGGATGGCTGAGCAGTTAAGAGTTCTTACTGATCTACCAGAGGATGTGGACTCAACATCAGCCAGCAAATCTAGCTTCAAGGGTCCCAGCATCCCTTTCTGCTATCAGTGGGCACCTGAACATGAAGTATACACTCACATACCAACCAAATGAATACAAGTAAAAAGTAAATTTTTAAAAATATAAACTGATGAAGACATTTTTTTTTTTAGACTATTTTGATGAAATGAAAGAATACGGCCCTATTCATATTCTCTGGTCAGCCTCAGAAGAAGACCTGGTTGATACGCTGAAAGGCATTGCCAGCTGCATTGAGCAGTGCTGTAAGGCCACGGAGAAGCGGATGTCTGGCCTGTCAGAGGCCTTGCTCCCTGTCGTCCATGAGTATGTGCTTTACAGTGAGATGTTAGTGGTAAGATCCTCTAACAAGAGTCTCAGTGCTATTCACTCTATGATATGGTCTCTGTGTTTCTACCACTCCTTCTTGTCCTAGTAGGATGTTTTACATGTAGATGTCCAAGAGATATCTGTTCACTGAAGCCATGCATCCATGGCTGGAAGACCACGTAGACAACGACTAGGATACTCAATGGAAAATCAACAATTTATGTGATTGTCTTCAACCCAAAGCATTGTCAATCAAGATTTGCTTAAGGAACAGTCTTCTAACATTCAGTTTTACTTTAAAACATGTCTTTTTATGCTCTATAGATTTAATTCCTTGAGAGTTACTTTCCTGTATCATTTATGATTTAAAACATATTTTATATGTATTATGTATATATTATGTAGAAAGTGATTGAGTAGGGTCTTGGTATTACATATGCTGTGCCTTCAGGCTGCTTCTGAAAAGAAATCTTCCAAGTTAAAAATGTTCTCTTACACCATCTAAAAAGCCTTTTGTCCTTTATATATTCATCTTTTCTTCATTTCAACTTATGATTTCCAGATACTTGCATTTGTTTAGCAATATTGTCTGCGGTGAGAGTGGTTTTTGTCCTGTATTGCCTCATGGTCTCAGTATGCGGGCTCCTTCTGGTGCCTAGTATTTTAGGGGGATATTGGAGGATAACATTGGAGGTATATAAGCATATATTCCAACATAGCCTCTTCTGCTTGAAATCGGAGACATGACAGATTTCTGATGTTATACACTTTGATTTCTAGCAATTTTTTAAATTGTATCTATCTTGATAAGAAAGGGTAACATAGCCGTGTAAGCATGAGTTGTTTCTCTTGTTTCTCATGTTTAGGCTTTACTTGAGAGTCATTAGCTCTTGCATGAATGTTTCAGACTTAGGATGTTACCTGGATTCTGAGGAGTTTTCTATAAACAAACAGTCCTGGCTTTTCAGAGACTCCATGCTTCATGGCTGAGAAGTCTTCTTCCTCTCCATCTATTGGCTCAGCTGTGTCTCTTGGTTCTTTCTCATTACTCACTTCTCCTGTGATTCGTCATAGAAATACGGCTTGTCTGTTTGCTTCTATCAGTTATGCAGTACTTATCCATCCCTATGTTGAGTCAAGCTAGAAACCATGAAAGCAAAATCTTACGTAATTAAAATTCTGAAAAAAATCACAATAGCTACTAAAAAGACCCATTATCTAGCTCCTTGAAGGATTGAATTATTTTATAGACACCTAAGATATAATCACTAGTTTTTATATTTCATTTCTGTCTCTGTTTCATATTGAGATATTTTCATCTGAGTTAAAATAATCACTAGTGATACCTTAGTAACTAATGATTAAAATTATATGATCTTTACTGACAAGCTTATAAAATATATATTTATATTAAAATATGTTTTAAAATTAGTGCACAGTACAGAAGTAGAACTTGAGTATGTGGGACTTAATGATAGTTTGAATCATTTAGATTAGAGGAAAGAAAATGTGTCTTGACATTAATCAAAGTAAATGATATAAAGGAATTTGTGACAATTATTTGAATTTTCTATTGTTTTTGCTGAGATTAGGGAAAATGTTAATGCCCTTTTAAATAATTTTTGTGTGTTATATAACATACCTTAATTATGCAAAATTTGGTTTCATTATGACGTCTTCATAAATGCATATATTTTCATTAACTGAATGACCTGCTAAATTTCACTGGGCTGCTTACAAGATCAGGAGTGGGGTGGTTATAGAAATGGGAACAATTTATCAGTGGAAACACCACTGAAGAAAATTTCTCTCCCTCCCATTGGAATTGTTAACAGCCTACAAATTCTCATAGACACAGGGGCCTCATGAGCTCCTGAAGTCTGGCAGCTCTTAACAGCCTACAAATTACCAGAGAGGCACTTCTGCTAGGAGTGAAACACGCTCTCTGGACACACTTTTAACCCACTGCTTCCCAGTTCTCCTTGGAATGCTTCAGAGCCTTGCTGTTTGATTTCTCCATCTACATTTCTTCTATAAAGCATCTCTTCATGTGCTGCATCTCTCCCATCAATGGTTGAATTTGTTTCTTACCCAGGGTCTGTTTTACTATTCCCTTAACATTTTAAAGCCCAGTGAAAAAGAACTACAGGGGATGAGTGCTCATGCCTCTGATGTGAGGTCTAAATCTTGTAAGACAATTGAGTTGCCTAAAGAAAGGCAATGTGAAAACGTAGGGAAAATGTATTAAAGGTGTAGATGGGTGCTACATTTCCATTGATTCTCAAGGGTGTTTTAGGTGTAAGAACATTGAAACATGAAGTTATAATTATTCAAGTAAACAACATTGGACTATTAGCTCACTCAAGGAGCCACGACTTCTTATCAAACCTTAGCTAATGGATGAATATTTATACATTTTTGGCTCATGATGAAATTCTTAAGATATGAATTTATGTTCCAGCTATCTGATTTTGTGCTGTAATTACTGGTTTGATTAACTGTCCTCTTTGGGTCAAAGGAGATGCTCACTGATTATAGATATTTTCAGGTTAGTGACTCAGGTGATCTCTCAAGTACCCCAGTGGATGATGGGACATATGTTTCCATTGCTCTCACTGACCTTTATTGCTTATTTATTCTCCTCTCTGCTCTCTTTGAAGACTTCGCCATCAAATACTAAGTATGTATATAATGCTTGAACTGATAAAATGCATCCAGGAAAGCCTAATACGAGATTTATAAAAATAATTTTAAAGACTTGATTACAGTTGAGATTTTATAGATTTAAAAAAACCTACTCTATAAAAATATTATGATTCTAAATGACTGATTACATCAGAAATACATTCCTGATGATTATTTATATTCTAAAATATAAACAGTTGTTATAGGCAATTATAATTACAGCAAACCCCAACTTGATTTATCCTTTTGTTTTGATATGAAGGGTGTCATGAAAAGAAGAGATCAAATACAAACAGAACTGGATTCCAAAGTTGAAGCTTTGACCTACAAAAAAGCAGATGCTGACCTGGTATGTCTTTAAGTTTGTTAATAGAGTCATTTAGAAGCCACTGTCTGAAAAAAGAATGTATTAACAATGTAGAGAGCTTCACTGTGTGGGTGCCTCTAGCTATTCAATAAATAATACTCAAAGTTCTTCTAAAAACCCATAATATACTATTGTTTAAGTCTTCAAGCTTGGCATTCTTGTTTTTTCTGCCTTTCTGCCTTGCATTGACTTGAGCTGTAAGGAAATATGAATCTGATGATTTCAAAAGGACACAATGTTTGAAGTGTTTGTAGAAAGTACTTAACATCATATTAGGTCATAGTGAAAAAATTCACACTTTGCAAGTGTCTTGGCAAATAAGCTCCTTTTTAAAGTTTAATCCTTGTCTTAAAATTATAGGACAGTTCAGTCATAAAATTGGATATTTTAATGAATTCTTATGCTTTGCCATTATGGTTTGTTGCATTTGAATATTCCAGCACAGCATGAGCAGAGTAGAATTTCTATTTAACTTTTACAATTGAAGAAGACTTGAATGGGAGAGGTTGCCTAAGCCTAATTATTGTTGAAAAACAGTAGGGCTGAAGGGCATGCTGTTGTCTGTCACAGTCAACATTGCTTCACAGTGAAAACACAGAAGAATTGACTCATCTACATTATTTACTCAATGAAAAATATTTTCTTAGTTTAAGAGATACTTAAATAATCATTTATTAGTTATTGAGTACACTTGATCAAGTTGGTGGCAAGGGAATCCTTGAAGCCCCCTGCGAAACTAGTATTGTAGCCTCTTCAACTTGAGCTGGTAGTGTTTTTTGATTCCTTCTCCTTCCATTAGACCCTTTATAACATGAAATTTTATTTCTTAATTTCTTCAAAATCTCCTACATCCTCTCCAACCCCCAGCCCTGCTTTGGCTCCTCTCCAAATCTCCCTGTCCTTTATCAAAACAGTTTAAGGGCAGGAATTGGTGATTTGTTCACTGAGTGTTCCCAGCCTGGTCCTGGTGGACTATGCTAGTCCCTCAATAAATATTTAATGAAGCAATAAAAATCATGATGACCACTCTGATTCACGAGTATTTGCTGAAGGCTAAAATCAAGAGGTCTCTACAAACTCAGCTTTGCGCAAAACAGACACTTCATTCAAATCTGACTGGGAACTTTATTCTTGTGTCTTATTCTATATGTTTTCCAAACTGAAATTCAGTTGTCTGAATGGAATGTGAGTGGGGACTGGTTGGTGGGCTGAAGTAGGCAGAGCTGGCGAAAGGCATTCATAAAGGAGGATAATGGGAAATGTATATGGAGGAGCTTAGTGCTCAAAGGAAGAGTTGTATTTTTCTTTACATAACAATGAAGAGAAATAAAGTAAATCTGCCCTTTGTGTTCAGGCTTGTATGGTTTGTTCTCTTTAGAGTATTCTCAAAGGAAAGAAAGAGGGGACACATATACAGAAATTTTAAGTACATCCTTTGAACGTTAGAAGTCATTTTCCATTTGAGAAATTATTTTAACAATTATTAAGACTATTGATTTGACAAATTTTTCCTCTTGAGTAAATACTAGAACCTTTAAAATTTCCAGGGAGTAATAACATGGTTCGTGAAAGCAGCATTTTTTCAGGATGGCCCACCCTCCTGTATTATGTTTTTATTTTTAAAATTTAAGTAATTTGACTGATTTGTGAGCATGTGAGCATGTATGTGCGCATGCACGTGTGTGCGTGTATGTGTGTGTGATGTCTGTTATATTAAAATCCTCATTATTATGAAATTGTGGAAATTTAAGAATTTAATTATTCCATTATATCCTGTAACAGTTCAAATGGTTTGAAGCAGTCATATTTAATGTAAGCATTGCAAGTATTCTTTTTAAATTTATGTATAATCATGAGAGGTTTTATACTTTTATTTTTTTATTGCTTTTATTCATCAAAACAGAGCTGTCTTATAATTCCCAAAATTAATATAATGATTTGTAAAATTCTCCATTTTCAAAGGATGTGTTTATATGTCCTTCATTCATCGCATAGATATGCCCTCCACAGTCATGTGTTTTATACAAACTAAAATCCCTCTGTGTCATGATGCATTGTTAGTAACATTGCAGAATCACCCACAAATGAGTCTGCCATGATTGGTCGCTGAACAACCAAAAAAGATGTTGCTTGGAAATATGCAAGATGGGTATCACCATGGAAACCTGCCCTTGTGAGGTCTTTCTAAGGAGCAGGCCTTTGCAGTCACCATGACGACCCTGGCAGACAACTGAATATAGCAATCTGCCTGGTTGTTTACCATGGCAACTGAGACAGGGCCACTTTGGAGACAGCGTTGGGGCCATTTCTATTGAGATCTCCTGAGGCTCTGGAGACTTTATCAAACCCACATTGGGATAGAAGTCACATACACATCCAATAAGCAACAGTAGGCATGATGAGCTTCTAATGATAAGCTGAGTAAAATAATGCTCCTACCAAGTATTCAAATAATAGGAGGATAATGACTCCATAGAAAGACAACAGCAGAGTAACACTGATTATAGCATGCTGAATATATCACGTGACCTTTAGCTGGCTTGTGTGGTACATAATCCCAGGCTCTAGTCATTTTACATTACTTGTAACCATATCTGCAGGCTAACTAATAATGAGAGTTTGTATTTGCACTTACCACCCAGGTTATTGTAAAGTGGCTGCTTTGTTTGAGTTTGTGGTCTGTAGTTCCTATCTCGAAGCAGCAAACGAATGGTTTCAGAATGGCCTCTGCTTCCTAAAGGCAGAATACTGTTTCCAAATTCAGGTCATCTGTTTACTGAAAGTTTTGTAGTTTGTGCTTTGGAATTATATAGACTTACATGCAAATACTAGCTCAGCTACTTATTAACTATGTCATAGGACACATTTACAACTTCTTATAGCCTCCTTTTACACTATGTATATTTGCAGAAATTATTCACACCTTTGTAAGAGGCTTGCTGAAAGACTGGATAACATGATGCTAATAAATTGCTTATATTGTAGCACACACCCAATAGTTTTTACCTGCTGTTACTTTGATGCTATGGCAAGAAGAGATATTTATGTTAAGTCCTGAATAATGACAAATACATTGTTCATTGTTGTGCAGGGAGAATACTTTTTTCTTGAAAGTCAGTACATTTAACATTTTATGATTCATTTTAGTCATTTACATTTCAAATGATAACCCACTTCCCGGTTTCCCCTCCACACATCCCCCATCCCATCCCATTTCCCCCTCTCCTTTGCCTCCTGAGGGTGCTCCTCAACCCACTCACCCACTCCTGCCTACTGCTCCAGCATCCCCCTCCTCTGGCATCATGCCTCCACAGGACCAAGGGCCTCCCATCACATTGATGCCAGATAAGGCCATCCTCTATTACATACGTAGCTGGAGCCATGGATCCTCTGTGTGTTTTATGTGGTTAATGGTTTAGTCCCTGGGAGCTCTGGGTAGTTAGGTTAGTTGATATTGTTCTTCCTATGGGATTGCAATCCCCTTCAGCTCCTCCAGGCCTTCCCTTAACTCTTCCATCGAACTGGATGTGTGCATCTGCATCAGTATTGGTCAGTTGCTGGTAGAACCTCTCAGGGAACAGCCATACCAGGCTCCTGTCAGCAAGCATTTCTTGGCATCAGCAATAGGTTATAGATTTGGTATCTGCAGATGGAATGGATCCTGAGGTGGAGCGGACTCTGAATGGCCTTTCCTTTGGTCTCTGATCCATTTTTGTCCCTGTCTTTCCTTTAAACAAGAACAATTCTGAGAGGAAAAAATATATATATATATTTGGCAAAATGGGTATTATTAAAGGTGGAATAAGTTCAGAAAGCATACCAAATTGGAGAGCTAGGTGGATATGTGGAGTCAAGGGTCCAGGGAGCTGATGGAATGTAGCTAATGGGGATGGAGGCAGTTGGGTAGGGAGCCTTTCTCCTCAGAGAAAGGAAAGAAAACCCCATATTTTGATCTTTGTAAATCCAAAGGGATCTTGAACTGAAGTGGTAGCAGTGGATTGAGGAGAAGGGTTAACTGGAAAGAGATAGATGGAGAAGATTCCTTGTTACTTCATGGATGAGAAAATACACCATTACCTTTCCCATTTCTAGCTGGTGAGAGGCAAGTGTTGGTAGCCACACTGAGAAATAAAATAAGTCAAGAAGAAACTTAGAAATGTGCCACTTCAAATCACAGTAAGATAACCTTTTCAGAAGAGATACATTCAACAAAATTCTGTCCCATTTTTGTTGAGTACCTGCTGTGAGAGTGTCTGTCCAGGCAGAGGAGGAACAAGAGGGGAGGTCATAAAGCTAGGTCTTCATGTATCTTCCATGTTAGGAGATAGGGAAAACAAAACAAAACAAAAATACTCACTCAAAAATTATCATTTCTGCTGCTGTGAAGAAATACGCTTGGTCATATTTGGGCTGTTTGGTAGGAAGAGCTCTTTTGTTAGTTAATGGTAAGAAAGATTCTGCGATTTGGGGGCTAAGTAAGTGGAAGGAAGGAATTAACATCAATTGGAAGAGGGAAGGCCCTGGGAAGAAAGGTTTTAAGGGGGAATATGAAGAAACCAAATTTGGATGTAAAATTGGAATGTCTATCAGGTGTAAAGGTGGATAGTTTAGTGGTGAATTATGCAAACAGATGTTCCATGGGATAGAGCTGGGGTGTAGCTAGGTATTCAAAAATGACTAGCAAGGGGATGGCATTCAAAGTCATGTGATGAGCTGTGGTCACTAAGGGGAGAGAAACTAGTGAAGGGAAATATCCTGGCCTTGGCTTTGACATACTCGAATTTTAAAAGGTCAACGCGAATGAGAAAACCAAAGAAGGAATAGGTAGTGAGGAGGAAGAGAAGAAATTTATACAGCTTGAATTCTGGTAGGCAATTCAGTGGATGAGCGAAACACACAAAGCTAATTAGGACTATTCAACATTGTAACCAGTTTTCTGTTGAGATACTCAAAGAATTTGATAGAGCATAATTTACGTGATT